TGGTACATTAACCCCTTGTTTGCGACAGACCTTAAAACGACTTTTTCAGTTTACTTGCATATTTTATAAAATCAGCCGAACAGATGTTTAGAACTGATGGTTATATCAATGTTTTTGATTGAAATATAGATGAAGCAATGCATTTTAGGCAGTTCTATGCTGTTAAGGGGGTTAAGGGCCCAAAAATATACCAAAAGATCTGGCAAATTTTGATAATTTTGACCATAATAAAGAACGTTTCCATGCATACTGCCACCAATACATGGTACAACAGTATCATAGGTCTACCTGACTGAAGGCCTGCCTATCCATCAGTCTGGGTGTATCATTGATATAAAAATCAGTTGAAGCATGGTAAACGGGTACAACATGGTAGATTAACCCCTTGTTTGCGACAGACTTTACAACTACTTTTTCAGTTTACTTGCATATTTTATAAAATCAGCCATGCAGATGTTTAGAACTGATGGTTATATCAATGTTTTTGATTGAAATATAGATGAAGCAATGCATTTTAGGCAGTTCTATGCTGTTAAGGGGGTTAAGGGCCCAAAAATATACCAAAAAATCTGGCAATTTTTGATAATTTTGACCATAATAAAGAACGTTTCCATGCATACTGCCACCAATACATGGTACAACAGTATCATAGGTCTACCTGACTGAAGGCCTATCCATCAGTCTGGTGTATCATTGATATAAATATCAGTGGAGTTAGGAGTTAATCTACCATGTTGTACCCGTTTACCATGCTTCAACTGATTTTTATATCAATGATACACCCAGACTGATGGATAGGCAGGCCTTCAGTCAGGTAGACCTATGATACTGTTGTACCATGTATTGGTGGCAGTATGCATGGAAACGTTCTTTATTATGGTCAAAATTATCAAAAATTGACAGATTTTTTGGTATATTTTTGGGCCCTTAACCCCCTTAACAGTATAGAACTGCCTAAAATGCATTGCTTCATCTATATTTCAATCAAAAACATTGATATAACCATCAGTTCTAAACATCTGCACGGCTGATTTGATAAAATATGCAAGTAAACGGAAAAAGTAGTTTTCAGGTCTGTTGCAAACAAGGGGTTAATGTACCATGTTGTACCCGTTTACCATGCTGAAACAATTTTTTTTATCAATAGCACATCTAGGCCCATGAATAGAGTCAGATCTGACACAGTGATAACATGTATTGGTGAAATAGTGCAAGAAAATATACAATGTTTTGGTCGTAATCGCCAAAAAATGCCAAATTTGGGGTATAATTTTGGCCCCCTAACCCCCTTAGCAGCATAAAACTGCCTCAAAGACATTGCTACATATCTATTTCAATGAAATACATTGATATAACCATCAATTATAAAATATAATGGGGTTGATTTCATAAAATAAGCAAGTAACTGAAAATGACATTTTTTCAGATTTTACCATAAAAAAGGGTTAATTCGGCATGTTGGCCAAGGTTGCTGCAACTACAACATGGCTTTTCATAAACTAGGGATCCAGACGGTTAAAATGAGACCATTCCCAGCTAGTTATACCTCCGGTAGGGGTGCACTTAATTTTTCGGGTCTCGGCCGCTGCACTAATATAGGTATATCCGGATATGGTTTAGGTGCGCGCGCCGTGTGTGTGTTTGTCGATGTGCGTGCACACGTGTGTGTGTGTGTGTGCGTGCGTGCGTGCGTGTGTGCGTGCGTGCGTGCGTGCGTGCGTGTGTGTGTGTGAGGAAGAGTGGCGAAAAAGGATGTCGAACTTCCGACATTTCTTCAGGTAAGCATTCTGTACCTGAACCGCCGTGCTGCTTACTGCGTTTCTGCCATTTCTGGTCGTTGTTCTCGTCGTACTATTTCGAAAATTGACTTGCGTTGGAAGGCGAGCAGAATGAACTCAATAGCGCATAGCAAATGTAAATCGTAAACGTCATCTTAGAGTAATCATTCTGTCAGAAAGATTACTCCAATACTTCATATACAGAAGAGAGACGTTATAATAGTGAGATTGAAATTCCTGCGTGGTTGTCCCAGCAATTCATGTCTGGAAACGCTAAAGTGTCAAGAGAAAGGTGCCATGGTTCTCTGCGTTTTGATTTTTTGATTTATTTATTTCGATAATTAACAATGCGTTATTAGTATGTTGCTAATAACGCGTGTGAGACACGCTTCAAATAAGAGATGCCGCAACAGAATGTAAATCTCGCCGAATAAAGTTTATAATGGCGATGTACAATAAATGGGTGCATGTTGAATTTATATTCTCAATCATGTTTTCCATGTAGCCCCCTTATACCTTCTGATGTATACATAAGGGAAATACTCATAACAGCCTATATAATGTGCTCATATATAGGCATATATACACATATATAAGCACGCATATATATATATATATATATATATATATATATATATATAATTGTATAATATAATTTATTTATTTAATTATTCATATAATAGGCGCTTAATTATAGAATCACGGTACATACCGTTATTCGTTTGTTCTTCGCATCTTGAGCGTTGCAAATAGGAAATGGGTTTCTGACCCTTTTCCGATTTTTTAAATGAAATAGAAAATAGGAAAAGTGGGTTTTCTGATCCGTTTCCTATTTTAAAAGTCTAAATAAAGGAAATGAGAATAGGTTTTCTGATCCGTTCTATTTTAAAAGTCTAACATAGGAAAATGAGAATAGGGTTTCTGATTACGTCTTCCTTATTTGCGGACGTGCACGCGAAGTGCATATGCAGATACACGGGTTCACGTGACACGCACGTGTACGGCACGTAGCACAGCGGGTACTAACGCACGTACAGCAGGCAGGTGGCGGCGCACAAGGGTATTTCTGAAGGGGGCGAAACTCAGGGGCGTGTACAGGATGCACCGCGAAGGGGGGTCTGGGGGCTGCTCCCCCAGGAAATTTCTTTAAATTAGACCGCGCTCAGATGGCGTTTTCTAGCGGCCGAGGCAGGGGGGGTCGCGGACGCCCGCTGGATCCCCCCCACTGTACACGCCCCTGGTGAACTGTAGACTGATACCGTGTGCGCTTGCACTTGACGGGTGGAGTCCAGGGGTAAGATTCTATTGATTCATTCAAGCTGGGCGTACTGCAAAATATTTGCCGTAAGATCTTATGTGGCGCATTGCGACGTTGCCTAAGTTGCGAGTTGCATCAACAACAGCTATTTAGTAAATTGTCGTAATGATTTCGCAGTACGCAAGGCGATGGGCCGTTTTAGGATGGCGATTGCAATCAAGCTAAAATTTACGTAAACTCTGTGCGTAAAATTTACAGCGAGGCTGACGAGGTGGTCCGGTAACACTCGAATTTCGGCAGGTGTTTCCCGCATACGCAAGCATTGCATGTATTTTATTGAGAAAGAGCATTATAAAGTGTTACTACTCAACTAAAAATAATATAAATTAATTAGCCATACTATACACAGACAAAGGCGGCGCCTTTGAAACGGCTGTTTTTGTCAATAGCTGTTGGCAATTGTTTTCGTTATAAGCGAGTTCGTAGTTTAGCCGTTGTACGTGCAGCACGCCGTGGCGCACGTTGTACGGTGCACACGCACGCACTTGTACGTGCAAGCACAAGCACGCACGTGTACGTAGCACATGCACGCACGTCGAACTTAGCGCCGTGTACGTACGGCAGCACGTCACTGTGTACGTGCAGCACGCATGGCAGCGTGTACGTGCACATACACGTATGCGCACGCGCACGTGGTACGTGCAGCACGCACGGCACGGCGACTGCACGCGTACGTGTGCTGCTTTCATCGAAGTGTTGAACACAATTCATACAAACGAACATGAGGACAACTATGCACATCTCCGCAGCAGCCTCCTGTAATCAGCTAGAGCCGTATTATGTTTTACAATATAAAAAGAGGCGTCAGTATTTGGGTTGATATGGGTATGTGTCGCAGAGCGTGATTGGTTTATGCTAGTGGCATGCCCTGCAACAGCCACAGCTACGATGGCGTAGTGGATTTCCACTGAATTCATGAGCAACACTTTGCGTACCAGGATGTGCTAGCGCTGCGTTGATCGAAGTAGCGCACCCTAGCAGAGGCTTTGGCGTACGGACTTGTAGAAACTCTGTGTACGCAATAACTTTGCGCGGCAATCGTTTGAATGAATCCGGCCCCAGGGGCCGCGCCTTAGGTGCCCCTAGTGGTGTCGCAGGGGCAGGAAAGCCGCGGCTGGGCAGGGGACCGGGGAAGTTCTCAAGAGTGTTATGCTAATCAAAGCCCTCAATTGCTTGACACAAATTGTGGGCAAGGGAACAAGGAGGCACACATAGTACAAGGAGATGAAGACCCTGGGGGGGGGAAGACGTCACTCCCCACATTATGGTAGGTATCTTGTAATGCTGCCACTGCGAAGTTTTAAAAATGGGGCGGGGGGGGGCTCTGGAACTGAACTCAGACCGTGAAAATGGTGGTCTCCGAACTACATGTTTGTTGAATTTTGGTATGCTCTTGGAACCGCGCTTATGTTCGAAAATGGGGTCTCCGGAACTAGCTAGGATTTCGTTGAAATTCAATGGCTATGAAACTGGACACGTTTAAAAGATGGGGGTCTGCCGGAACTGTGAGGGTAGGGAACAGTGATTTGTTTAAAAATCGTATGCTGTAGCCACTTTTGAGAACCAATAATAATACTTTGTATGTTATGGTACGAGGCGATGAAAACATGACCCGGATAAGATGGACCACGCATAGCATACGCAGCACGCCACACGCACGCATACACAAACACTGAACTGAAGAACTAGACAGAGGGTGCACTCACGCGAGAGAGCATACCTCCGCCAGAAACATACGCCATACGCATACGCGACTCAGCGAACACACGACACATAACCACGATACCGGCTACGCGCCAGCGTTATGCTCGCTCGCCGCCCACGTCCAGCAGCGAGCGCCGGCTGTGGCTGGCTCGTTCGTTGACGCGCTAGATATCATATGCGGTCACACACACACACACACA